GAGGAGGAGGAGGAGGAGGAGGAGGAGGAGGAGGAGCAGGAGCAGGCTGTGAAATGCCGCGACGAGTTTGCGGGTGGAGGGCCTGTCTTGCGGATGCCGTTGCTGGGTGAGCTGGCTATTCACATGAGAGATTTTTTCTGCTCCGCGCTCGCGCTTTCTCGGCCCCATCTGTCGTGTTGCGAGGTTTGCGGGCGTTGCTGGAAAATCACCAGGCCTGTGTTTTTGTCTTGTACATGGCCGTCATGATGTGTGTGGTGTATTCTCGAAGGTGCTGGCGTAGTCTCGTCGTCGTTGCTGTTGTGAGACTCATTGCTGAACCTCGCTCGTCGTTTTTGGGAAAGGCAAGACAACAAAACGGTGCGTGCTGATCTACAACGTAGGAGCTTCTCATCTGTTCTTGTCAGCTTATCGCGAGATCTCACCCAGAACGCCCAACCGCATCGTCCCTTGCGGCCGCCACGTGGATAAAACAGCCCCCTCTGCCCGGTGCATCTGGAGCTGAGAGGTTTTCTGGACGGCAAGGCCGCAAAGGTACGCCGAGACACGTGCAGATAGACCGCCCGCACTTGGGAAGTTGTCCGTTACGAACTCCATGCTCAACACTTTACGTATCAAATAATAGGGTTTTGATGTAGCAAACTTGTGAGTCCGGTTACGAAGCCCTACATTGGAACTTGTTATTGCGACCTTCGTAGCCCCCAATAGGTACGAAGAGCACCAGCCTTGGCCAAGAATAATATTTCGAGGTTCCTACGCGCGGTATAGCATATGCACCCAGACATCTGTGTTCCTGCACATGCGTGGACGCCCCATCACTCTACTGTTCCCGTACAATGAGGGTGAGCCACTGGCTACTACTGTACCCTCTTTTGGTCTGTACGCCTCGTGGTGAACGCCTACCTAGGTCCTTGGAATGCCCTGGCCATGGAGGGGGATTTGAGATCCGAGTATTTTTCGGTAGATGACCGATTACGTGTTGTGATCAGGCTCTTTACGTTTCCCGTGTTGTGTTGACCCATCCGTCAATAGGCTCTGCAATCTGAGCATAGGTTTTGGGGGTCCGTTAGAGTTTCGGGATGGATACGAGACCAGCGTTTCTTCCACGGGAGTACAGAACAGCGTAGTTGGACCCCTAAACCCTGCCTCAGCTGCTTCCCACCGACTTGGGCTTTACTGACCGATTCCGCCCCGCCCAAATCATCAGCTATCTATCTAAAATCACCGATTCCGCCCTATCAAAGTATTGCTGCATTACGCTCTAGTCTACGCCAAAAAATTGAAATCGAATTGAACCCTGAAGCTAGCCGTGCCGTGGCCGGCACATTCTAACATGACCCATTCCGCCCCGCCCGAGTTCCGATTCCCATGCATGGTACAGACTGGCGGGGTCAACGATGCCTTTCGCTTCCTTCCCCCGGGGTCGGGTCCCAAGCGGCGGTCCTCTCTAACAAGGCGACGCGCAGCCGCTGCGGCGGCGGCAGCGGCGGCGGCGACAGACGCCGGCACCACTCGTGTGGCGGCGCTCTCCGCCGTTGACGGCGGCGGGGAGGGAGAGCTGTCCGTCATGAGGTCCATGTCGCCGCTCCTGGCGGAGCTGCTGAATGGCAAGCTCGGGGCGACCATCGCCATGTTTTGCCGGCGGGCGGCGGCGGAGGCTAGGGCTCCTCGAAGACGAGGGTGGGTGGGAGGACGTTGATGCACGAGAGAAAAGGAACGAACAGCAGAAGAAGTGTTTTTCTTGTCTTGCCAAGATGTTGCACCAGGGGGAAATACATTGCAGTGTGTGCGAGGAAAATGAGAATCCAGAAGGAGCTGTTGAAGCCATGAGGAACTTGCACCCGAGGTCGCTAAATAAGAATGTAGGAAAGGTCAGACTGCAGTGGGTACCGTAGGTGACACGTAAGATGCCGCACACCTCCGATTTTCAAAGGTCACTTTCTCCACGACGACGAGGATGTATAAATTAGACGATGCGTTAACGCAAAGCTCTCGATGAGACAGTTCCAGCGCCGCCTTTTTTTGGGCACCGTCAGCCTCTGAGCTGTGAGGAGTATTCGAGATTTGAGAATCGGTCCAGGGGGTGTGAAATCTCACGTCGCCTACGTCATCTCTTTGAATGAAGCAAGTCGGAGTAGGCGGTGTAATCTCGTGCCCTCAAGCTGATCGTACCTCTGGGCCGCCTGCGCCCCCTACCTCACTACTCGTATCGCGTGGGCGGTGTCGCAGTCCGGTCTTGAGTGGACGCGCAGAATTTTCTGCGGGGGATCGGGGGGGGCACCGAAAACAGTTCAGGTTGGGATGGCGCAGAAGGGGTCGGCCAACTTTCGTTACTGTTGACATTATCAGTGCCGTCCTGCTTTCTCGGACAACGAGTTGGTTCATGAGCACACAAGATCGTCAGGCACAATCGAAACTGCAGTGTGGCAAGAACCGCACTTTGAGCGGCACACTGTAGCGGCCAACCCCCGCACCCTCGCCCCTGGCTAACCCCGGCTTCATTTCATGGTTTCACGGCCCCTCGTTGGAGTTTCGGCTACTTTTTTTGGTGATTCGTTGGCGTGCTGGGACTGCCTTCAAGAGGATACAAGGCTCAACATGTGAATGAAGAGGAAGGTTTTGTAACCCTTACCCCAACCGCGTGCCCCCTACTAAAACGAAGCTTAAATGTCCTGTCGAAGGCTCCTAGATCTCCGAGATCTCCGGGACAGCCTTCGCGAGGACGCTATGCGTTGTTAAATTGAGAGGGGGGTTTCGTAACCGTAACCCTAACCCTAACCCCAACCCGTAACCCCTACTGAAACCAAGATTATTATCCTCGCGAAGGCTACTGAAAAGCATCGTGGTGCCTTCTTTGCCCTTGCTGGCAGATCGCAGCAGCAGCAGCAGCAGCAGCAGCAGCAAAAGGTCCGGCCGGAATGGGCCAGGTGGGCAGATCCTGAGGAGGCAAAGGCTGCCGACCGTAAGCTGGAGGCGGACACACGTTGGGCAGAAAAGGTTTGTTTTTTTTGCATTGACCGCGCCAACCGACTGGCAGATGAAAATACCTTAGTCTCAGTGCGGCTGAAAACAGAGAGCATGCTTCTAAAGACCATGATGTGGGACCGCGTCATGCGGGACGCTTAGGTGTATGTGTATGCTTTTCTTTTGTCGTTGTGAGCGAGCGAGCGGGAGTACAGCAGAACTCAGCAGGGGGGGCTTGGAGTCGATTATGCTGTCTCCGGTCGTTGCGGGTGTTGCTGTCTTCACACGCCATTTTGGGTAGCGGTCCCTGTACTTGTAAGGCCGCGGCGCGCGCTGTTCAGAACTTGAGACTACTTGAACATGCCACAGGGACCATTTACTAGAGCTATTGGTGTCATTCCTCGTTCACCTTGCGGACGAAAAGTTAGGCCGATCCTTTTTTCTAGTTCCTGGCGAGAAGGTCCATTCTGTACCACACGTTTACGTTAATTGTCCGGTGTTATCCCGGTGGCATTCCAACGCCGAGGCAGTAAATGCTTAGCTAAGTACTGCTGTTGCCTGTCGTGCGATGGTCAATACGGGCGAAAATCATCACAACAACAACATGCACGACCAATACTACAGCACCAAATGTAAACACGGTGGTACTCCAACTCCGAGGTAGTCTTTCACTACTGCACTAAGCTAAATGGTGCTGTCGCCTGCCTTGCACTGAATGCTGCGGCGACGGTAAAACAAAAAAATAAGGTGCTGCTGGCTGAAAAGGAGGTGACCCTAGAACTGCGGCGACTGTCCAACCTCGAGGTCTACCCGGCGGCCGAGCTCGCTCACATACGACGGGAGCACCGGGCACTGGCGACGGAATGGCAACAGGTTTGGGAACGATGACGAATGAAGGCATCGGGTGGAGGACGCCCAGAAACCCGCGCAAAACATGCCGCAAGCACCGATTTGCACGGGGTGCCCCTGTTGCACGATGGTGTAACTACAGTTTTTTTTTTGCCGAGTTGGCCAGGGGCGTCAGGCGCGAGGTCGCACCTTTTTGTTTCCGGCCATGAACGTGTGTGAGGCAAGGAGAGTTGATGAACGGATCGGGGATGATGGGCGGTGTCCAATGTCGAAATCACGGCAAACGGTATCGCGGGCGGTACTTACCTCGTCGAAGTGTTACACCGCACACGGGGATGCTGTACGTCGGTGTTGGAGCGCAGCCCGTGTGGTCCAGTGACAATCGTTAGATGACACTGCAGGGAAAACGCAGCCAACACGTGCGTCCATTTACATTTGGTTCCCCTCCCGTTTTTGGAAAATGCACATACAACCAACACCCGTTCGAGGAAAAACCACAGTCGAAGGGGGTGTGTTGGATGCCTTTGTGCAGTGAGAACCGTTTTCGTTGTTTCGTTCTTTTTTCCTCTTTTTTGTGGATGATTTTTCCGAAAACGGTTTATCCAGGTCATCGGCAAAGACGCCACGGACGATGAGCACGGGCGGTTCTGTGTAGTAGGGGAAGACGACGACGAAGGGGACTTTGTTGGCGGCGTCGGCGTCGGCGGCGGCCGCGGCGGCGGGCTGCTGCCGCGGCCCAACGCCGCCGCTATCGGCAGAAGGAACGGCGAGGCGACCGCTGCGCAACCGCCGTCGCTGCTGGCGATGCTGCTGCCCCCATCCGGCACGAAACGGCGACGAAAAGAGATAGCGCTGGCCCCGTTTATCGCCTCTACAGCAGGAAAGGACGCAGCAGTGGCGGCGGCGGCAGCGGCGGCGGCGGCGCCAGGAGGCATTTCGCTGTCGGGGTCCTTGACAGCGACCGGGGTAGGCGGCGCAAGCGGAGCCAACAGCGGCGGCAACGCTGCCAACAAGCGTCCGGACGGTCGCCGTCAGCGCCGGAAGGGGTCCGGGGGTGGTGGCAACGGTGTTGCCAGCATCGCCGGGAGTCGTGGCCCGCCAGGCGTTCGTGGGAAGGTCAAGGGGGCATCGGGCGTCGGCGGTAGCAGCGGTGCCGGGAAAGAGGAGGTTCTGGGGTCGCAAAGCGAGCATCGAGGCAAGCAGGAGATTGAGCTCGAGTTTTCGCGGCTGAAGTGGGCTCTATTCAGGACGCGTCGGCAAGAGGTGAGGGGGTGNGGGGGGGGGGGGGGGGGGGGGGGGGGGGGGGGGGGGGGGGGGGGGGGGGGGGGGGGGGGGCACCGGCCGGGAGTATTTCGAAGAGATTGGGAGTAGAGTGACGAGGAAAATATTGGTTGCGCGATGTTGGGCTACCGACCGGAGAGATAGGCGCTCTGACAGGGTGCGGTGTGTGATGTGTTCCTAGGCCGTTTTTGTGTGTTGCTGGAAGAAATCGGTTGTTTTTCGTTGTCTGAAAACATGCGCCTCTCTCTTGCGGCAGTGCTCCTCTCGCCGCGTCACCATTGTGCAATCGCTGCCTCTCGCTCTCCCCCTTCCTTGGTCTGCCCACCAAAAAATCGCACACATACTCAGCAACCGTTCTTCAGGTGCACGGATGCCTGTGAAGGTCCTCTGCATGATTACAGTGATTGCTACGGAATCACAACGCGTGACTGCGATATATATATTTTTTTCCTTACCGCACCCGTCGCGCGTCCAGGCCGAGATTCCGAGAATGGTCGCGAGAGGGCACGGGCAAACCCTTGTTCCCCCCTTGGGTGCCATGCCGCCCGTCCTGTCTACTGCCGGGGGGGCGGGCAGCGGCGGCGGCGGCGGCAGCAGCAGACACCTCGTTGCTGGTGGGGCCGGCGGAGGCCGGCGGGAGGCCGCCGACACTCCGCTCAAGCCCGCATCGTCGTCGTTGTCTCTGGAGGAGTTTCCCGCCCCACCTGCCGAGGAGCAGCTGTGCCAGCTGTCACCGATATCGGCCCTGCTGACACGGGCGTCGGGCCGACACGGGGGCGGCAGCGGCAGGAGGTTGCGCGAGAAACAGCAGCAGCAGCAGCAGCAGCAGCAGCAGCAGCAGCAGCAGCAGCAGCAGCAGCAGCAGCAGCAGCAGCAGCAGCAGCAGCAGCAGCAGCAGCAGCAGCAGCAGCAGCAGCAGCAGCAGCAGCAGCAGCAGCAGCAGCAGCAGCAGCAGCAGCAGCAGCAGCAGCAGCAGCAGCAGCAGCAGCAGCAGCAGCAGCAGCAGCAGCAGCAGCAGCAGCAGCAGCAGCAGCAGCAGCAGCAGCAGCAGCAGCAGCAGCAGCAGCAGCAGCAGCAGCAGCAGCAGCAGCAGCAGCAGCAGCAGCAGCAGCAGCAGCAGCAGCAGCAGCAGCAGCAGCAGCAGCAGCAGCAGCAGCAGCAGCAGCAGCAGCAGCAGCAGCAGCAGCAGCAGCAGCAGCAGCAGCAGCAGCAGCAGCAGCAGCAGCAGCAGCAGCAGCAGCAGCAGCAGCAGCAGCAGCAGCAGCAGCAGCAGCAGCAGCAGCAGCAGCAGCAGCAGCAGCAGCAGCAGCAGCAGCAGCAGCAGCAGCAGCAGCAGCAGCAGCAGCAGCAGCAGCAGCAGCAGCAGCAGAGGGTCTCACGCCTTCCGCCGAAAGCATCGTCCCCAAAGCCGGCGGCCCTTCCGTCCACGACCGCCGTCGCCACCGCGACCGCTTTTGTTGGACGGAGGCACAGCTCGCCACCGCGGGTCAGCGCTCTCGCTGCCGCTGCTGCCCACGAGAAACCCGCGTCATCGGGGCAAGTCTCGCCCGGAGCGGTTGCGCCGGTGCCGACGGCCGCCACTGGGCGGGCGATGCGAGTGGCAGTTGTTGCCGCCGTCGCCTCCCACGGCACCGATAAGGGCAACGGCGAGCGCGGCAAAGGGAGCGGCGGCCGGGCGGTCCCCAGCAGGGTAGTTTCGCGTAGGCGAACGTTCGGTGCCAGCGGCGGGGGCACCGCCGCCGCCGCCGGAGCGGGGGGGGAACTGCGAGGGTTCGACGCCGCCCCGTACCAATCAACCGTCCATTTTCGAGATAGATGATACTCCGTTGTGGTGGTAAGTCGATGAGCATTTTGTTGCGGTGTGAAATTTTTCCGTTTCAGCGGGTAAGGTCGACGTCTAGAGAGTGCAGAGGGGATCGGTACGCTCTAATTCGCCATCCTTCATGTTCTGTCCCTGCCGATTGTGGCTTTAGTCCAACCGCACCAGAGGCACGAGGTAGTGATGTGTTGGGGTGTGTCTTTATGAAAAACTCATATTGTTCGATTGACAAATGCTTTCCCGCAAAACAGATCACACCGTTTTTTCATCAGTGTCGACACCGGCCGGAGGCAGTACACGACCAGTCGGCCAACCGCAAGGGAAACAGGACTACTTTTGTCGCTGCCTGCTGGACGTCGGCCAACCATCTACAATCCATCCGCCTGCTGCCTGGCGGAAGAATCTAGCCCTCTGCCGCTGTCTCCGCCGTGGCTTTGAGCGTCTCGATGAGTGCTCTTCTCGCGAAGAGTTTGCAAGCGAGCGAAGGAGAGGTTCTCCCCTTGGGCTCTCCACATGCACTGAGAGCACAACATTTGGCACGGGCCCATACATGTTAAAGAAAAAGAGGCTCACATTTTCACGAAAACGGGTAACGAAACATACCTCACCGGTGGACCCTGAGTTGAATAAAGTACAGAGTAAGTCGCTGTTGCTCTGTCTGTCGTAGCCAAACAATAAACGACAAGAGGGTTGGTTCTCGTTTCGAAACCAGCCGCGGAGGGAAGTAGTTCTCGTTTCGAAATCAGCATCATGTCCCCGATGCCGGTAGGGGTTTGTTTGGGGTTTGGGGTTGGGGCCCCCACGGCGTTGCGGGAGAGACAGGTCTTTTGGGGGGGGGGGGGCCTGTTAGACATGAAACAACAACCGCTGGTTGCCAGCCAAACTCTCGCCGAAAAAAAAAAAAAACACTGAGAGACAGACACTACTGTTGGAGCGACTTCGTCGTCGCCAAACTCTCGCCGAAAAAAAAAAAAAATGGTGCACGACAGACACTGTGAAGCTGAAACACATCAGATGTGCCAGCCAAACATAGCACCATGCCTCCATTCGGCCGATTGGTGTTGGTTGCTATATACAGTCTAGTCTGCGTCAGTAAAAACACCAATTTGACCTGCGCCAAAAGGAAAGAAGTGCGCATATTTGTTGCAGGGAAAGAAATAGGCATTGTCTATTATAGTCGACTACTGCTGTAGTAGATAGGCCACTACAGCAGCATACATTCTAATCAAAATCCTACCGCTGCGCCGAACCTCGCTTGCTTCCGGATCGACCACAACAGGCCTGCTGCTGCCTATGGCACAGCATGGCTTGCTTCCACGTACGTACGTACGCACGCACGCATCGCGTGTATATCTACCACTTCTGGATGTATGTCTGCGCGCTTTTCTTGAATACACTATAATAGAGTAATAATTAATTATCGTAAGTCTCATGTACTGCTCTGTCTGTCGTAGCCGAACAATAAACAAACGTCGTAAGGCAAAAAACAACAACAAAAAACGGCATGACGGTTGGTTCTCGTTTCGAAACCAGCCGCGGAGGGAAATAATAACGGTCCAACCTCGATGCCGGTAGGGGTTTGTTTGGGGTTTGGGGTTGGGGCCCCCACGGCGTTGCGGGAGAGACAGGTCTTTTTTTTGGGGGGGGTGCCTGTTAGGCATGAAACAACAACCGTTGGTTGCCAGACAAACTCTCGCCGAAAAAGAAAATAACCCACTGAGAGACAGACACTCACTGCTGTAGAGCGACTTTGTCGTCGCCAAACTCTCGCGGGCAAAAAAAAAAAAACGATGGTGCATGACAGACACTACAGCTGTGACATCAGATGTGCCAGTCAAACATAGCACCATGCCTCCATTCGGCTGATTAACAGATTACAATCATTTGTGTTGGTTTCTATATACAGTATAGTCTGCGTCCGTCCGTAATAACACCGATTAATTTGACCTGCGCCAAAAGGAAAAAAGTGCGCATATTAATTGCAGGGAAAGAAATAGGCATAGCCTATTATAGTCGACTACTACTACTGCTGAAGTCTAGTAGATAGGCCACTACAACAGCAGCATACATACATTCTAATCAAAATCCTGCCGCTGCGCCGAACCTCGCTTGCTTCCGGATCGACCACAACAGGCCTGTTGCTCCCTATGGCACAGCACGGCGTGCTTCCAAGTAGTACGTACGTACGCACGCATCCCGTGTGTATATTTACCACTTCTGGATGTCCGCGCGCGTTTCTTGAATAAAGTACACTATTATCGTAAGTCGCATGTACATGCTCTGTCTGTCGTAGCCGAACAATAAACGACAAGACGGTTGGTTCTCGTTTCGAAACCAGCCGCGGAGGGAATTAATAACGGTCCAACCAGCCCCGAATTCAGATGTGCCTGCTGCATGTGCAAGAAAGATGTGACGACACAACACCAACACCTACTATTATAGAATACTGCTTGCTGTACTCCTCGTGGCGATGTGCTACTACTTACTGTGATAATGCTGCTGTAGTATGCCCGTCCCCGATCGATGCCGGTAGGGGTTTGTTTGGGGTTTGGGGTTGGGGCCCCCACGGCGTTGCGGGAGAGACAGGTCTTTTGGGGGGGGGTGCCTGTTAGATATGAAACAACCGTTGGTTGCCAGTCAAACTCTCGCCGAAAAAATGAAATAACCCACTGAGAGACTGTAGAGCGACTTTGTCGTCGCCATACTCTCGCGGGCAAAAAAAAAAAACGATGGTGCATGACAGACACTGAAGCTGAAACACATCAGATGTGCCAGCCAACCATAGCACCATGCCTCCATTCGGCTGATCCGGTGTTGGTTTCTACATACCGTCTAGTCTGCGTCCGTAAAAACACCAATAATTTGACCTGCGCCAAAAGGAACGTATTTTTATTGCAGGGAAAGAAATAACGGTGGCTTGTAGTCGACGCCAGGAAGTGACGATGGCGGAAACAAGTCCAGTGAAGTGGGCGATGGCGAACGTCGATGAAGGCCGCAGGAGAAGGGGACGCAACGGTATGGAAGTCCGGAGCATGGGGCGTAGTCAACCCATCTCGTGATGGCCAGGGTACAGAAACAAAGGTGGCAGTTGGAAACGACGGAACTTGGGGAACTCTTTTTCCAAGTATCCAGAGGCAAACGTCACCGGCGAAACGTGGGGAACTCGTTTTCCAAGTGTTCAAAGGCAGACAGCACCGACGAAACTTGGGGAACTCTTTTTCCAAGTGTTCAGAGGCAAACAACACCACCCATGCTTCGACTACTTCGAATCGTCGACGATGCCGATTGTTGAAAGCAGCGAAAAGAAAACTGACGAACGCACAAAAAAATAAAAAACAAAAAATGACGTATCCAGGTCGCGGCAATCGATAGACGAAATGCAAGCAACAAGGAAGAAGCACAGAGAAGGACACGTCCAGGTCGCGGCGATCCACGGGCAGACGCAGGCAGACAAAGAATAACGACATCAATCACAATCCAGAACGGGGAACTCAACCAAAACATACTCGAAAGGGAGAACACCCGCCCTATTCCGCCAGCAACGGCGGTGGACTACGAAACGATGAAACAGAACACTAGGAACCGAGGACCGGGTTTGCGCTCTTGGCAGGTCTTTGCTTTTCTTTTCTTTTCATTTCATTTCTTTTCTTTTCGGTCCCAGTTTGTCAAATAGAAGTGAGCAGAACAAGGAAGACAAAACAAACGCAAAAAAAAAAAAAACGGAGCAAGAGAAAACAAGACGCAAGATCTGAGAAAATTAAATCGCCAATGAAAAGGAAGGCATAAAACAAAACAAAACACACAAGACATAAAAGAATGGGAAGTGTTCCCGCAAGGCGCCGAAATACCAGAAGAAGCCGTGGGGACGGCTGACGGTAAGGAGTCAGCGGAAGACGGATGCGGACGCTGATGTCGCCCAAAGGGCGGGAACGATGTTTCTCCAGACACCAGGATCCACAGACGGCGTTTAAGGCGGTGGAATAGAGATCC